TCGGATATTCAGAACTTAATTTAAACAGTTGCTCGTATAATCCCACAGTACCTGTGTATTTAAATTTTCCATCGATTACGACGTCTGATCCATCAAAATCTATTTCAGAATCACCGATAAAAAATTTATTTGTGTCCCATTCGTATCGAACTTTGTCAAGACGGGGATTCACAACGTCAGTGTTAAATCTATCACCTTCATAGTCTTTAATAATTCCTTCTATATAGTCACGAGGTAGAGGATCGAATTCCTCCAAATATTCTCCAAATCGAGAGCTATTGATATAATCTATATATGCTTTTTTTAATTGTTCGAACTCACTGTCATCCCTTCTTGGGTCAACTTCATATACACTTTCTTCCCTTAAGAAGGAAGGAGGACCTTGAAGTATGGTAGCTGGAGCATTCGAAGGATCAAGTTTTCTAATTTTTATTGGAGTTGATGATGCTGGAATATCAACTTTCGACCAATTAACAACCTCTGGTTTTAATTCCTTTTTGATCTCTTCACCCAACTCAGATTTCAAGTGAAGAAGCGATTTTGTAATTGGTTGATAAGCTTGTTGCAATAGAAGATTCTGTCCTACCATCGATTCCTTTAACATTTGCAGTTTCCTCTTTACTGCTTTCCTAACTTTGATTAGTTCTTTCTTTGCTTTCACATCCATGCTGTTGTTATGGTTGTCTTTTAACAAGTGGTTTCATTTATATTACCTACAGTAATATATATTTATCGAATCCTATGCGATATCTCCCGTCATTTATACCACAATCCTTGTTAATAACTAGAAATCCAAATTTTTCTTTCCAACATTCTCTACATATACTTTTAAATTGGTCAAAAGTCATATCTGCAGTAACATGGCCGGAAAAAACGTGTTTCAGATTTAATTCGTCTTGTTTAAACAGTTTTATTAAATTAGCATTATCTCTAATTAAGTGTTTAGGGATTTGAGCATATGTTTGATTTAAATAAAAAGTATCGATTGAGTTATGCCTTCTCATACCAAAATATTCTCCTATCTTACTCTGATTGTCATTCGCAACATCATCAAAGATGAATACAGAATTAGGTTTCGCCTGTGATGGACCTATTACTTCATCAGAATTTCTAAAGGGAAAATAGCCAATTCCAGTAATTGGTTGTAATAATTCATTTAAATATTTATATTTTGGTTGATATAGCGACTTTGAATAAACATAAACGTTTTCAAACCGTAAACCGTTTGGTTGCTCCAAAAGTCCTATAATCACATTTGTTTTTCCACAGTTTGAAGGTCCAGCGACGATGCATCTTATTGTTGATGGTAATAAAGGACCATGACGATTTATTTTCGCAGCAATGTTGAAGTAACAATTGGTTATCGGTAGAGCAGATGGATGTTGTATTATCCGCATGTTTCTTCATTATTAAACGATATATAAATTTAGAGTTAACGTTGCTTATATAGTCAGTTGCTTCGCAATAGTGAAAGCATTCAGACCAAACCTGTTACATAAAACGCGGCGTTCTGAATAGTATTATAGATAAGTTACCTATTGAAATACACCTCCCAGGTTATAACTTTTGTGGTCCAGGGACACGATTAAACAAACGATTAGCGAGAGGTGATATCGGTATAAATCCTCTCGACGAATATTGTAAATTGCACGATATTGTATACGCAATTTCACCAAGCATTTCACAACGTCGAATAGCGGACAAGGTTTTAGCGCATCAATCTGTACGAAGACTAAAGTCATCAGACGCGTCGAAAGGTGAACGCTTTGCAGCTCTCACAATTGCTTCGGCTATGAAGACTAAGGAGAAACTTGGAATGGGGCACGAACGACGATGACTATGTCGTAGTAAAAAAGGTGGTTCGATTCCGTTGACAGAATAAATAAGAAAAAACGAATAAGAAAAGGAGGAGTTCTACCGTTTCGCAAATTTGTAACAACTGCGAAACTTGTTCTTACGAAAAATAAGCCCCTACAGTTGTTAGAGGCTGCTAAAATTGCACTGAATCAAATTCGAAAACTTGGAAAACGATCTAAATACCCTAGAATCATTCCCATTCCAAAGACAGGTGGTTTTTTACCTTTAATTCCGATTTTTGCGTGACTATCGGCACTTGGAGCTTTTTCTGGTGGTGCTGCTGGCATTGCTAAACTGTACAAGATGCTAAATCAGCGCAGCAACAACTAGAAGAAGCTAAACATCATAAAACTGCAATGGAAGCAACGTCATAACACTTCAATGGAAGCCATTGCTCTTGGGAAAAATATTTCCATACAACCTTCCCGTAAAGGTTTCGGTTTATACATTAAACCGTTTCAACAAAAAAAAACACAATTTTTTTCCTGAAATTGCCTAATCATCCTCTAACAGATTCAGATTCACACAATTACATTCGCTATTCAGAAATTCCACATTTTCATGGAATCTTCATGCGTAACGAATTACTAAGAAAAGTTAAAGATATGAAAGTCGAATTGTTAATTTAGACACGGAACTGGTACACATTGGACAGCGTATGTAAAACGAAACAGCAAAGCTATTTACTTTGACAGTTTTGGTAATCTCCGTCCACCTAAAGAATTGGTNTGGGCAAGAAATCTCACGTGGGATGACGACGTCGGTACTGAAATTAAA